GATTTTTTGAAATTTCTATTATTCAATTACGAGGAAATCACTCAGTTTGCAGTAACTTGCAGTAAATGAATTTGAGATATTTTCTATGTATCTAACTCTAAACAATTGAAATGCAATAAAATTTTAAATTTTGAATGCGTTTTACTTATAATAGTATTTTTATATGAGAAATATAAAATATTTTGAAAGGCAGAATAAACACTATTATATACAAATTTACATAATTGCTATAAAACAAGTAATAACATCCGAGATATATTCGTTTCGAATATTTTGTTGAGTATTCAATGTCACATTCTTGGGAATAGGAATTATTTTGAAACATTTTCCAAGAAAATATTTTTTGAATAATTTGTATTATTAAAAGATATTATTAAAACAGAAGTTACATTGCATTTAACAGAGAATGAAATCGAAATTATGAACTATAATAATAATTCGTGGTGTAAACAATACGAGCAATATAACCAAGTGAAAATCATTATTTTATTAAACTACTTTATTTAATTACATACATTTAAGTGTTGTTTTATTGATATAATAAACACTCGATGATATAACAAATTTTTAATTCACTTAATAAAATAATTTATATTGTTATTATTGTGATAAAGTCGATAATTTTGGTACTCACACAGGACAATGACTTTTATCTACTTCTGAACAATTTCATTTAAGAAATCATTTTGGATTTATTAAATCTACTATAAACAATTCTTTTAGTTCCTCAAAGTATATATCTCTCCAACAATTAACTCTTTATTTGTCATCAGAGAGTGTTATAAATATTTAATCGTAGCATATATATCGATAACTTCAGCAGATGTCTTCATAATACAATATACTTAGGATGGATCACTTTAAACGAACCATGTACTGATATCAAAAATATTTAATTGTTTTTACACGTCTTCATTTAGACAACTTCATCTTTAAAACGTGAAAACCTAAATAAATAGTTTCTCTGAACCGAAATATATGTATTGAATACTGACTAAATGCAGAAACTTGAAAGTTCAAATTTCTTTACTGCTCATATATGGTCCCTATTAAAAAAGTAATGTTTTATGTTAATCACATTGGCAACCCCTCTTCTGTACCAACTTTTTTCTGTAATTTATTTTAATCTCACTTAATAAATAACGACTCATAAATGACGACTTATATGAAAAATAAGCAATATCTTTAAAAGCATTTCACTTAGAGTTTTGGCCATATTTAATTATTATTAATAACACTTACTACCAATTTCTTCTGAGTCGAAAGTTTCTGCATAGACTATTTTATACTTTTATACTTATAGGATATGATATTTTTATTGGGGTCTAATATACTGCTTGCACTCATATTAAAATCCAAATCGACTTCGTATCTTAAAAATGTAAAGATATCCTACTATATTAAAAAATTTTTTTTTCTTTGATCCGAGTCGGGGATTGAACCGGAATCAGAAAATAATATTTTTATAACATATTTATCGCACCAAACGTCTCAATGATATTGATTATTGAAATAAAATGTTTTACGTATTGGTACTCACTCAGTACATAAATAATCATTTTAAATTACAATTTTTAGCGAATCTACATCTTAGTTTGGGGTATGTTGAAATGGTGCATGTTATTACAATTTTGCAAACTTTTACTCGAAGAACGAATCACCCATTCTGGTTCTCTCAAACCAAAGGAAAAACCGCCTCTCACCGCTGCTTACAATACAACTCCATGTAATATCTTTTTTAAAGCGTTTGGTCTTCCTGATATAGGTTAGATGGTGGCTTACTTTGTTATCGCTCGAAGGCGGTGAAACATTGAAATCCTCAATATTGAAATTATTCGTCCGTAATCCTAAATAACAATATAGAAACTTAAGTCAGAAAGAAATTTAAAAGTGATTGAGTATCTGATAGTATGAAAACATTTCTATTACATACATTGCTCACATCCAGACAATCTATAGCTTCCTCAATAGCAACCGTCTCCATCTGAAAAACACTGTAATAATCCGGAAACCTATAAGTAGATTTATTCAATCCTTCCGAGAAAAATCGTCTGCTTCATCACTACTTATTTTATGATTTAAAAATCTTCATATAGCCATGTGTCTTTAAAGAAAAGGTAAACATTTAATTTTCTCTCAAAATTAAGAATACAAAGGATGAAATCAATATTATTTTTGTAGGAATGCCAAGATTTCCTATGGAGTTATGGCTGATTATACCACCCTTCCATTATAAAGTAGCTTTACGTGAAAGAGCAGATGCTGCTGTCATTTCTTTACTAATGAGATCAAGTGGAAATGTGTGAAGCATTAGATCCAACGTAATGGATGATGTGGTACACAGAGCATCACTAATGCAGAGTTCAGCCCTAACCCAACGCATCATACTGTTACGCAACAATATAGTTCTTTTAATCAACTGTTTAGAGCCATTGAATTATACACGATTGTAATCTTCATTTCTTAACAATTCTTATCATACTCAAAGGTATTTGCTTCCAATTAAGTTTTCTGTCAAATCAAAACCTTAAAATTCAGAGTCCTCAGAGTGTGAGAGAAATCTTATACTTTCTGGCAAAAACTGCAATTTCAGTTGTATTGAGGTTGACCCCAATGCCATATTTCCCTGTTATATAATCCAGAATTTTAAAACCATTTTGAAAAATATTTCTTAGCAGCAATTAATACAATGATATTCACATACGCAATAATTTCCTAGCCTGTCATAATCAGTTTAAAAAATAGTTCATTTACCGCTATGTTTCAGAGGAGAGGAGAGCGTACGCGCTTGAGGATATAGAAAGTTACTTCAATTCCATGACGGCAGCTCCTAACCATGATATACCACCATTGGGAAATCGGCACAATACCACAGTATCTGTTAATGTAGTAATTAGAAAGCATACAAATTGTTTTTTTGGTGAAACTAAAATAATCTCTCATTCTTTTCCTACGAGTATCTAAATCAGGCCATAGAATCCTTTCGCAGCTTTCACGACAAGTTTAGAAGTCATTCATCATTGCAAGGATAAATATGTTACTAAGCTTGTGTATACTACTAAGCTTTTCTTACAATAGTTTTCATGTAAAGCAGTTGACCTTACGTATACCCCCTCTGGCCATGTCATCTGTTAGTTTGGTACTGTTTTCCTAACAAACTCAAATATGAAACTCAAGTTAATGTTATGTTTTATTTCGAACATTTCTGGAACTGTGCTCCATGATAATGTCAAATAAAAAATCAAAATAGAAAATATGCAGGGGTAGCGTGATAGTTAATGCTGTTGCCTTCGGATCGACGTTTAAAAAAGTAAATATTAATTTGTTCATGTACATCAAAGAATAAATAATGGTAACTATTATTCATTCATTAAATATAGAAAATTTAGAATAAACACTAGCTCTTATAGATTCTTCACATATACCAATTTCGTACATACTATTAAAACATATCGATTTTATTACTAATACCTTAAAATAGACCCGATCAAAAAATACATAAGGGACAGAGCCCTGAAGTTATATGCGAAAATTGACAGGCTATCCTACTTACCACTATCTAATCTTAGAGTAATCACTCTCCGCACGGGGAGGTGCGCAGATCTTAGATCAATCACTGAATGATCATGAAGCTTATAGCGAATACATAAGTTAGTCAATGAGATGGGTGGGACCCTGTAGTATCCCCAGCTATCAAAGAGTAAAAGTGCCCAGTTGCGCTGACTCGAAAAAAGGATCAACATACTCTGCTATAATAATAATAATAATAGTAACGTTATAATAATGTTTGCTAGTAATCATTACTGCTCAGATTATTAAGAGTATATTATGTATAAATTCTTGAAGTACTTATATTAGTTTCCAATCATAAAAGAAATAACACCAATTTATTCATCAGTATAAGTTACCATAATTGAGGACAATCTAAAGAAGTTTGTTAAGAAATTGCATCAATTCATTAAAAATATTTTTTAAGTTCGCATATCAAGTTTTATAACCAAAGTAGCTACATTTTTAATTTTCCTTATTTCAATACTGAAACCAAATAGATATTCAAAACTTTCTTAGTTGAGATAAAGTTCCAGTTTCGTGCATAGAAAATTCTGTTCTGATTTCGTGTTAAGTTACTTCAATGTGAAAACTTTTAAACTTTATTACTTTATTTATTAAACTTGACCATAAATATTGCATGCACTTGAGTCTCAAACTAAAAAATTCTTGTTTTCCGGATGCTTATATTACTGTAATATCCTTAAAATTTTCAGAATGTTGCAAAATATGTTATGTATGTCATATGTACAGTCCTTGTATCATTGAAAGTTTGTTGCAATAATAAAAAACTTTTTGCATTCGGTTTGATAGTCTGTTGACTAAGTTTTGCAAGTACAGAAAATATATATAAATTATATATCGAAACTTAAAAGTTAGTATCTTCTACGCTGTGAACATTTGCTGACTATCAAGTGTTGTAGTAAATATTAGATAGTGTTAAGTGTTTCATGGGTGCGATTTCGGTTTGTGTATTTCCGCTACATTACAAATATTAAAAGGACTTCCGACTTCATATTTGAATGACTACTGAAAAAAATTGTAGATAATAGAGTGTTAAATCCTATTACGTTTAAGTGTAATATATGATGTATTATAGAATTACCACTAAGTTGTTATTAACTGATTATTATCTACTCCTTTAATATGTCATTTCAAGGTCTCTAGAAATGAGTGGGAGTGGTTTAGACCGTGCAAGTCGGGCACTCACTTTCAGGGGCGCCGGATTGTGGTTAGTGCGTAGGCTTTCCACTCTTCCTTGCCGCAAAGAAAAAAAATAAAAAAAAACTTTCTTTTATATGTCGATTACAAAGAATGAATTAAGCCTTAAGCTACTTGCCTTTTTTTATTTTATTTTTAAATTTTGAACAGTCTTGTTTCCGGATTTTATGTAAACATATTTTTTATTGATACCATTTCCTTTTATATATATTATTTATGTGTTATGAATATACTTTCTAACGAATTTTTTAATTTATTTTTTTTCGAATGCATCAAACTTTCCTAAGTACGTCTTCCAACTCTCATGTGTAGGTTCATCTTCTAGTCACATCCCTAAATATTTTTGTTAAATTTCTGATAATAGAAGGCACGTGTTTCTATTATAAATCAAGCATCCGTAAATCAATCAGTAAAAGTGAAACTTTTTGATTTTTGATTTTTTCTTTGTTACTTTGTCATTTCTTGTTATTTATATTTGACTTTTCTTTGACTAAATCCTTGTATTTGTTACTTAATCAATAATACTAAAAGCAAGAAGAAGAAAAAAAAACATGTGAACAAACAACAACAAACTTTCCAGCTTAGTTATAATGAAGTCGAAGAATATATATAATCGGTTTACTTTATTTTTGGTTGAAAGGAAATTTATATGTATTTATGCGCATAACACTAAACTTTTGGTCCTTTATGATGTGTGCCTACATATGGCAGGGATACTACACTACTTATTCAATTAGACCAATAAAAATTCTTTTATCTCCGTAGCATTAACGCAGCTTATCGACAATAAATACATGCTGGGCTCTGGTAACAGCAATAAAATTTTTACGGATATTATCAGGCATAATCCATAACGCAAAAATAATAAAATCAAACCAGAAAAAAACAAAAAAAATATTTTATAACTTTTTTTATCCTTACATCCTTACATGTTCGACTTATGTGTTTCACATGAATTGTGTTGTGCTGCTGCCATTAGTTGTTGTTTCCACTCGGCAATAAAAATAAGTAGAAAATCCTTAAAAAATATTGTACTACAACCAACTGCAAATCTGCTCATAAATTTTATGCCATAATTTAATCATGGCGTTAAAACCGACTTCCCCGCAAATTGTCTGCATTGAATTTTTGACATAAAAATCAACATGGCGTAGCATGCCATAAATTTCATAATATGCACATCAAAATGATAACTGTATTTATATGAAATATGCTTGACATCCGCATCAACTTCACAGTTCCCAGTTACCAGTTCCCAGTTACCAGGCCTGTTACCGGCTAAATAAACTTAATCGCTGCCTTACGCCACCACCAGCCGCAGAGCGTTCCAAAATTACGCCGCTGCGTTGCTCGAGCAATCCTCAAATTGGTGACATATTTTTGTTTCCGGTTGTATGCGCTTGCTTCAATGTACACATTAGCATACATAAGCATGCATTATTCTGTTAAAAACATAAATGTTAACATTTTTTTAATTTCATAAATGCTTGCATGTAACATAATTTTGCATCATTTGCTGCTGTTACTCTTGTCGGTAATGTTGTTGTGCTGTTGTTATTGCTGTTGTTGTGCACTCGTTGCGCTGTTGTTCTTATTAGGCTTATGGAGCTGTTAAGCGGCAGTGGTTGTGTGTGTCTGCCAAAATTAATTGCCTGTAATCATGACAGATTTGTGGTTGGTTAATTAAGCGCACTGATTTATTTGTAGTTTGGCTTTTTTTTTTCTTAACAGTACACAAATGACTCCTCATTTTAGTGTTTTAAATTATTCCACAGCTGTGACTCAAAATATGTTTTTAAATATATATTCGTTAATTACATATATACATTTAATATATAATGCATACAAAGTTTCTCATGTATTAAAAAAGAAATATACAATATTATAAAATACAAGTATCTTACTAAGAGTAAGGTATAGTACATAAGAGTAAGATATATAGTTCATAATGTTTATAAAGTCTCTCATTTAGAAGAAATGAAAATCTCAATACTAAGAACAGAAAGCTGTTATGTAACCAAATAATTCGTCCGTCACTTCTATATGGATGTGTAACGTTTAGCAAAGTTTTAAACACTATTATTCACTAGCTAGAAATTTCACAAAGTCAGTCTCTGAGAAGACTTTTGAAAGTACCATTGTACATTAGGATGAATGACACCCTCATGGACCTCAAAATTGATCCGATCAAAAAATACATAGAAGATAGAGCCCTGTTATAATTTGCGAAAACTAACAGACTTACCAATACCGCGTTATCGAATCTCAGAATGGTTATAGGCTCCCCGGGGAGGTAGGCAGATATGAGATCAATTGTTGCTTCGTCTGATGAAGTGATAAACAAAAATCCAGTCAAAGCGTAAAGAGGGGTTTTAGAAATACCTCGAGTTAATAAAGAGTATATAAAAAATTATAAAATACAAGTACCTTACTGAGACTCTGTTGAAAACATTTATTAAAACCTATGAATATGTTAAAGCCTCCAAAGAATTTATACCTAATTGAAGACTTACACAGAATGTGTCGCATGCTACAACTCACAAGAGATTAAAGAGTATATTCAGTGCATATATTCCTATTTAAGTGTAGATATTGCACCTGCTGCTGCAACATGCGAGATGCAGTCCCCTAGTAGTCCCCTTTCCTTGGGTCGCTCTTTCAAACTGCATAAAAGCGAATGCAGTACAAATTTAAAATACTTTTATGCAGTTATAAAAGTTAATAAAAGTAGAAATAATTCCAGAAATGATTTATCACATCTAAGAATTGAGACCACCACATATTAAAGTAACGACTTTAGCATATAGTGTTATGCATACTAAATGAAAATATAGTTGTCAAACAGTAACTTTTGACAAAAACCGCAAAATTTTTGAAACTCTCCGCGAATCATTAGATATGTATAGCCTGTGAAGTTGGTAGCTTGTTTTTATCCAGAATCCTCATCAGATGTTTATTTATTATGATTTTAAACTGTCAAATGTGTTTACTACATTTTTGTAGCCACATTAGAAACCAACTTATTACATATAACTTAACCTATTTCTCTTATAGTGTCAACATCCTATCCTATTAGAATCACATATATAATTGATTTTTTTTAAATTATTTTAAGTTTATTCTATAACAACTTCGATCGAATTTTGTCATAGACTAGTAACATTTATATTGACATGACAGTTGCTTTCCCTCCGTGACACTGTTACCTACCTTCAAGATATATGAGCTGTATTCCAAAACAGTTGCAGCAATCGAATTTCTCTATTTGCTACGAGCTATTTTTCTACTTTTAATCATTGTTAAGAATTTTCAGGTTCGACTTAATTATCATATTATTCCGTTTTTAGATCAATGTATTTCTTAATATATTGATTTCAAAGTATATTAGTCCATTAATGTTGACAACTTTTAATGTTTCTATTCCCAAGGCAATTAAAAGCATCAGTCACTCGAAACCTTAATAAAAATATAATCAGGCTTTGAAGTTTGAAATATTCTTCTACGAGCACTCATCTTATGTCCTTTAGGTTACTGATATAGAAAATTACAAGAAGAAGAAGAAGTTTAGAAGTACAGAACATATGTAATTTTTGATAAAATGAATTTTAAACTAAACCTAGAGGTTTAAGTCTATATTCAACTAAGTCCTAAAATTTAAACTAGTTTTCTAGCCATATCTATCCCACAGTAGAATAAATCTAAATTCGTTGATGCATTTTCGCATTTTATTCTAATCATTTTGATAAATGTGCTTAACCATAACTTATCTTCTGTTATTATATTTTTCCGGAAATCTTTTTAAAATTCTACTATTTCTTACTATAGGTATGATTTAATTCTGACAGTATGGGTAGAGATATATAAGAATATTTATTTTAACTTCTACAGCACACTTTGGGCACAGTTTCAGGTTAGGTAGTAGTACTGGCCTTTCACTCGTAGAGTCTTTTAGTTTTTTTGAGATATATTCATTCGTTGCTACGATATTCTATTCTCCAGCTGGCAATTACTCATTTTCCTTACCGTACTTTGCCTACAGCTTATAATAGAAATGATAGTTGGGAAGTTGAAACAAATATATTTAGTTGGCCGTGAAGTATTAATGTTGGGTTGTGCTGATAATAATATATGTATATTATGCATTTAATGAGAATCAGAATTCAGGTCATTGTGCATATTTCTTTTTTGTTTGCATTTTGATTTAAATAAATCTAAAGATTAAATTTTAAAATCTAATTGAAGAAAACTACATAAAAGTTTTTGAATAAATTCTTATATTAATTGACACATTTATATTAGTTTCCATTCATATTTTAAAAACTAAACAAACTGATATTTGAGGACTCTTGGCCATTGAAATGAAATTTTGAACCACTGTGCATAGCATCTGTTAATAGAGTTTCCACAGAAATAGTTTAAAGTTTTTATAGCGTCGAAAAAGAAATTTGCTTACGTATTCAGTACAACTAATTCAGTAGTAATTCTGGTGGACTGTACGATAGTCGTTTGCAAAATGAAGGCACTTCTTTTGAAAGTAACCCACATAAGCTTTTCCAACTAAGTTGAATAATTTCGTGTATACAAAATTGTGGAATAATTGCATTTGTCCTCTCCAAGCACATGTCATACATGGCAACTTTGACATAGTGACACTCTGACATATGACAGACACATTTTGCTAATGAAATGATTTCTGTTGCACTCTTGGTGACAGCAACATGTAAGCAACAGAGAACCGACAACAACAACAATTTAATGACAGTGTCCAGTTTTTGAATTGAAATAAAAGTTGAAAAAGTGAATTATAGTAAAAAATATTCATATCTCATATAAACCGAAAGCAACATTTTGTTGCATTAACATTATTACTTTTTTAATGTTCATATTCATTTCTATGATAAGTGCCTTTTGACAATAATCGTGATGTATTACTTTCGGTTACATTAATATTTTGATTTATTTTTGTTACTGTGTTTATTACAGAAAATTCATTTAAATATTATTTCTGAATGTATTGTATGTTTTACTCAAATAATATCTAATGGATTTCTATTAAAAAGCAATTACTTATGTCTGACTTGATGGCTTTTGCTGATTTCAATGTATGTATTGAATGAATTTAATTATAGTTTTGACACAAATTTAATACCAATATTTCTTTAGTTTACTGCAAATATTTATTGTGAATATTTTTAGATGTCAATCAATGAAAAAGAGAATAATTGCTGTCATATTCTTCAAAAAATATTTATAACAATTACAAAGTATTTAGTTATTGCTTAGTTTGTCAAATAAAAATAAACCTGACTGTAAATACCAAATAAAATTAATTTAGTTTAAAAATTATTAATTTCACAAATAAAAATTATATTATTTTATATAATGAAATTAATTATTATACTTAATACGGGTATCCATTATCTTTTTTAAAATCTACAGTTGGAAACTTAGACTTTTAAAAATACATAACGAAGAATTGAAAAAAATTTCACTTTGATGGAGGATATATCTAATAATACAGTCACAATATCTCATTTAGTCACATGCTCATTTATATGAATGAGTGAACGTACACATTATAATAAGCTCATTTATGTAGCTAATAGAGCTTTTATAAACTTCATTTTATAAAATATCACACAAAACCATAAAATATATAATTGATATATTAAATCATTTGTATACATTTTATATATCAATTATTTCCTTAGTGTAATTTTTTACAGCTCAGCTGCTGTTTGTTTACATTTTTCAAGTTTTGCTTGTCATTGATAAGAGAATACAAAATCTTATAAGAGATTTATATTTCCACAAATATAGTCCACATCCAAATCTTTAGCTATTTTTAGATATGAAATCTTTTACATTCTAATTTTATTCTATTTTATTATTATTAGAAATTATAGAACTTAGGAAGGAGCAAGGCTTATGCTTCCATGAAATATATATAACTTGAGTCTTATCATTTTCAGTGATTATCCATTGACATATTGTTTTATGTAGTTTATATTAAAAATTTACAACATTAATTTTTTGAATTAATTTCGATTTCTTTCAAAATCACTAATGCTTTATACTAATGTTCTTATATTTTCTCTAAGGTCTGTTTTCAGAAAGTTGATAGCACTAAACTCAACTTTTCTGCCAAATGGAAGCACGTAATGTAGACCAATATCTTAACAGTAACTAATTGAATGGGTCTATTTTAGAAATGACTTTAGATTTCTATAACGTTTTTATTTTTCGTGTTGCGAATGTAAGTTTGGTAGAGTATTCGATTAGAATACTATTAACAATTTCCTTTTAAAAACATAGACTTACGCCATTTGTATTAAATGACACAAGATTTAAGATCATGTCTGTTTGCATCTTCAATGTGAAGAGTGAAGAAATTTAAGCCCCTATATCACGAGAGCTGAATTATATCAATACACAGCTTAGTCTAAAAAGTTGAGCATTATAGGTAAGTTTAAATCCGTTGTCAAATCGGTAAGATAATATATATTACTAAAAAACGACTATACTTATCAATTCGAATCCTCATTGATTTAATTTTGCTCCGGAGACTGATGCTCTATTCTATCTCTTTAATGTTATATGTATAATATTTGTGTTGCATCAAATCAGACTTGCTTTGAAGGTGATAAACGAATCTTGAAAAATTTGAGGAAGTATGTTGGTTTCTTTCTTAAATGTAAATTAAATATAAGTATGTTTGTAATAAGCAACATACCTATTCAGATAACCGTTAAAGATCAAAATTCTGGAAAGCTTTATCTTAGATAGATTACTACAACATTTTTTAATTTTTATCTCTACCTTTTAACAACTGACTTTGAATAAAAAAATTGTATTCGGAGGTTCTGTCAAATATTTTTATTAATTATTTTTAAATTTTTCCCCAAATATTTTTTGTAACATTATAATTTTTTTTTTTTATTTTTCAAACAATTTCAAAATATTTTCCATCACGTTTCCATACAAAGAAAATTTTTTTTTTAATTATTCTTCTAAGAGTTAGAGATTTAGTTTTCTGAACCGCATTACTGTATCTTTGATTTTGCACGAAGAGTTCTCAATGTATCTTCTATCATACTGGTCTGTATCATCTTTGAGAAAGTACGTTTCGATTTAATTTCTACAGGAGATTTCACTTCAACAGCGGGTGCAATTAAGCTGGCAATATTTTGTTCCTTAGAAGACTTGATCATATCTGTCTTGTCTTCCAATTTACGGCGTTCAGGTTCTGCAAATGGGTTATCAGTTCCGCATTGACGAATGTCACGTTTACGTTTCCTTGGCGATCGACGCTTAGGTGGAGTGACTTCGGATTTACAGAAACTGATAGCAGCTTCATTTGATGCAATCTTCTTCAGGTTTCCTTTTCGCTTTGGCTTGCGTACTTTTTTTGGTTGCTTGTATTTATTGATCAGGTTCGTAGCAACTGTGCTTCGGAATTCACGTCGTGTGCGCTGGACAGTGTCCGAATCGTTTAGTCTTGGCTTCCATGGTGGTGTTTGTTTACGAATTCTTACTTTGGGTTTACAAATTTTTTGCTTCTTACATTGATTTACATCAATTTGTTGTATTTTCTTTGGACGTTTCTTAGGTTTTTTAGGAATGACCTTTTGCTTTTTTTTCAACTCAGGAGACTTATATTTATATTTTTCAATAAGTTCCTGATGTATAGATGGGCCATGCTTCTCACGCCGATCATCGTTTTTACGATTAAGTCTTGGTGATCTACGTAAGCCTTTATTTACGTTTGAATTGCTTATTTGTATTGTCACTATTAATCGCATGTCTTTAGCTAATAACTATGTAATATTGAAAATTGAATTACTATTAATATATGTAAAATTTATGATAAAATAAATCGTATATAAGTACGGGTTTTAACAGTTTTAGTCACTAGAGCATTCAAGGAATGATACGTACCTTGTTTTTGGAAAAAATATTCTTTAAGTGTGTTTCGATCCCGAAAGATAATTCAGAGCTTTCCGTGTATCATATAGACATTCTGTCGACACTCTTTTGCACAAAGTGGCTGCCAGCTGTTATTATTGGACTATAACAGGTCTATAACTTTAAAAAGAATCTAATTTCAATGATAATTCTGTGATTTTTTAAAGATATATGTGTATCTTTATGGTGAAAAATACAATGTCATGAAGTATTTACTTAGACTTAATATTATGTTTCAATATAGTGTTAGCGTATAAAGCACTATTTCGGCTTGTTCCATATATGATACTCTTCGGCAGCATTACAAATGTTCACCACCTGAGACTGCTTGAATATAATTTAATTACTTATCAGTATAAAACTAGCTACTGTCTACCCCACTAATGAGCCCTTTTGCACGTAAATTATGGGTAATAGAAAATAAAATTATTGTTAACAGTTTTTGAATGATTACTTACTTGATAACTTCGAAACGATTAATAGATTCTTAAGTAAAGTTCCAGCAAATCCCAATTAAGGAAGCACCATTAAAGTTGCTCCCATGCAATTCTTTTTGCTGTATTCACTAGCCTGACTAAGAATCTCTTCAAGTTGAAAGTGCATATGAAAATATGTACATCTTTATGTTCAACTTCATTTACATACCTCAATCCCTAATGTAATTTTCATAAAACATATGTTGACGGACGTGCAATGTTTAGTGCTTCGCAATTTTCGAATTTTTCAGATAAACAAATTTTCAATCTTGGACATCAACTGAAAAATTTTTATTTGAACGCTATTAATATTATTAATTATTCATAACTAAATATAATTCAATTCGTAAAACAGTATTTTTGAAACAGTATCTACACAAGTCTATATAAAAAAAAATTTTTTTTTATAATTTATTTTAAATTTTTGACAGACAAAGCATAGAAAAAATTTTCACACGCACAAAGATAAAAATCTTTAAAACCTGCGTTCTTTCAGTTCTCGTGTATGGTTGCGAAAATTGGTTTGGACGGAAAATACACAAAGCAAGCTGAGAGTATTTGTTAACCACTGTCTCCGCAGAATTTTGCGTATTTTTTGACCAAACAGTATATCAAATTAAGACTTTTGAACCAGAACAAATGTTAGAGATGTCAACCTTAAAATTCGCAAAATAAAATTTGAATGAATCGGCCATACACTTCAAAAGGCTCCTACTGAAATTTGTCAACAGGCGTTGGTATACAACTCCCAAGTTAGAAGAGGAAGAAGTCACCCAAAAACAACATGGAGAAGGTCAACGTTAAATAAAGTAAATAACGTTTTACAGCCCCTAGGAAGAAGAATAAGCAAGATTACTGATATAAAGGACGTAGCATTGCGGCGCGAAAGGTGGAAATCATTGATGTCGAGCAAGGCTTATTATTATTATTATTATTAAAGACCTGTCAAGAAGCAAAACAATCGAATAATACCGCTAACCATATTTCTCATCGTAATTTTGTCGATGATGACAACATCACAGTCACTACACAGTATTCTTTTTTTGCACTTTCTTTTACATCTTCTAGTTTTGAGCAGCAGATAATCCGGGTATGCTTCGAAAATGCAAGTCTATTATTTCCTTTGTTAAATGAAAACTTTATCAAAAAGCTGATTTTTATGACATTTATTTAATAGACTTTAGGGTCAGATGTGTAGCTAGTCATCTAAATTACTCAATGGTTTGCATAACTATCGATGCGACTAAATGTGTTTAAATTAGAATGTAGTCAATTTTAAAATGGAGCAATCACAGTACCACTAATTTTTTTTTGCTTTTAAATTGTTCAAAATGTAATATTTCTCATACAGTAAGACCCCGCTTAATGCTGTTTCGTTTAACGCTGTTTCGGTTTAGCGCTATTTTATTTCAATCCGAACATTAAAGCAGATGTTTGATAAAACAGACGGAAAAGAGAAGCAATCAATAACAGAATTTTGGAAAAACTACAATATCATAAATGCTGTAGAAAATACACACCTTTCTTGGAATGAGATAACAGAAAGATCTTATAAAGGAGTATGGAAGAAGATTTGGCCAGATTTATAATAAGTAAGAGCGAAGACATTTGACGCTCCGTCGATATGGATGAAATAGTGATAAAAATAGTAAAATTAGTGAAACAAACCTGTTTTGATGAGGTAAATGTGGAAGACGACGAAAAAATAGTTCAAGAAATAGCAGCTAGTCTTTCTAATGATGAAGTCAAGAAATTAACTGAGCTAGAAGAAAACAAAAATGTTGATAATAGTGACTTTAAAGAAAAGCAAAAAGAACTATCGATGGCGTTTGTGAAAGGGAGTTTGAGCACTATACCTGAAATTATGGACCAATTTGTTGAAAATATTCCAAATTTTGACAGGAGTTGAGAATCAAGACGGTGTGTTGTAGATGATTTATCCACTTATCAACAACTTCTAACAGAACGCAAAAAGAAAACGCAAACTACCATAGATGCCTTCTTGCGCTGTTTCGCATTACGCTCTATTTTGATGGATCGTATCCTACGCGGGGATCCTTAAACGGGGTCTTACTGTACGTATATCTTATAAACTGTAAGTGTAGGCTTAGTAGGTTTCGAATATTTGCTGCACGCTGGCATAATTTTAAAAGAGATATTTTGGAAGAATGTGGTGTCATATTCATGCTATTATAAATCATATACCTGTTTAAAACTCATTAAATAAAAACTGAACGAAAAAATTTGAGGTTTTTTTAAAGGAGGAAAGAAGTTGATAGTCTCAGTTCTAATATTTTGTCACAAATCTCAAAAATAACTAACTTCATATGATTATTTGAAAAGCACAACATTACTAGTATGCTACCATAATAAATAAAACTCATGAAAGTATTTTAGCCATTCAAAAAAGAAATAACAAAGGGATTTCAAGTGAGCATGTGGGTCATTTGTAGAATTTATATGGTCAACATCCTTGGGCAGAAAATGCGTCACTTTTATTTTTTGATGATCTATATTATTGATAGATTGTCTTAATTGAACGCCCAAAAATAGTTATCATAACGAAATTAAGATTCTAATCATGATACTGAAAATCAAATCAACTCTGTGTGATTCTGGAGAAAATTTAGACACATTAAAATTTCTAAACGTATGTTAGATTTTAAAACCATACAATTGTGGTATGTGAGGATCTAAATACTGGACGTGCCTATTTCGAAAGCAGTTTTCACATTAACAATTGTAAAATAAATCTTTTTAACTTTTTTATGCATTGCTTTGAATGTCAAATATCTCATGCGGCTTGAGTTTACGGTTTTCCAAAACAATTTTATGGAGTTTTTCAAGATTTTCTGGTGTATCCGTTTCATGCCAACCAATATTTTGATTTCAATGGAACAAAATTCGCCTAACACTTATCCAGCCAAATATTCGCTGAAGCGGTATATTTTTTCGCACGACACTTAAACACACGATAATAGTCTTGATTTCATTATATTAAATGAAATCATAGTGTTGGTTTTAATATAATAAATATAAGTACAATACAGGGTTAGGCGATTGAAGTATTATAAATACACACAGGTATATCTGTCAAACTAATATTGCCAGCTTCTTGAAATTCATACGAATAACAGCTTTTTATATTCTTTACAAGCTACCACACACATTTGGATCTAAGTTTTATAGCATAAAAGTTATTAGAAATGAAATTCAAACGAAATAGTGTGCGTTATATCAATCACAACTTGGAAAATCACAACCAGGTGCTGTTCGTGTGCTCAAACACCACAAAGTGATTAAAATGTTTATGTATTGTACCATAAATTATTATAATAGATTATTATTAATTGTACAGGTCAAATAATTGTCGCAAAACACTAAGGTGGTGAAAAAAAATAGCAACATTCCCTAAAATGGTTCGGAAAGTGAAGCTCGACTTGAACGAATTCCACGTCACAGTGATAGTCAAATGGTCAAATAACTGAAAATGTTCCAGTGAAGCATCAGACGCATATTCCAAAATGATGGTAAAACACCAAAGCAACAAAAAGTTAGACTCGAAAGAGCAAGGAAGGAGTTGTTACGATTGAACGGACACGAACGTTAGGAGTATCCAAACGTCATATTCTCTAATGAAAAAAATGTCTCCATTGAGCAGTTGATGAACTCTCAAAATGATCGTGTTTACTTACCTTAACGCACTGAACTTGAGACTAGGAGTGGCCACCTGAAGTAGTTTTCCATCTTAAGTGATGGTATGGTCAGCTGTGACCGCCAATGGATGCCCTTCAGTTCTTTCAAAGTTAATGCAACTTATTATTATTATTACTTTAGAGCCGTGGGCATGCAAATATTTCGGTCGCGGACTATGGACGTTCCGACAAGCTCTTGTGAACCAAGAATAGTAAAAAAATCATGTTTCACATTTCACTTCGTCTACACAATGGCTTTCGAATTCGCCAGATGCAAATACGATAGACGTGTCTATGTAGGCCATTTTGTAGAGCAAGGTGAGAAATAGAACATATGCCAGTATGAATGCGCTGAAGAAAGCTATTGTTTAGGTGTAGGTCAAAATACCGAAAGATCACATAATAATAATAAAAAATAATTTCACACAAAAATGTCATGATCAGTTAGCTGGGTAACACTTCAATCGCCTAACCCAGTATATAATGTGAATTTAAGTAAATTTTTATTGCTTTGTGTCCAAATATCACATATTTTTCAATTTTATATATGTTACTCACCTGTATCCCTAGTTATTTCTCAATAAGGGTTTCAACATATCCTGTACCCACAAATATGTACTCAAAAATTTCTGTTGCTTTGTTGAGTTCCGAAAATAGAGTAATTCATAGAAACTACTGAATTTTAGTAATTACGTTAATAAACATTTATTCGCAAAATATTTTCTTTAAGCTATAAAAATAAAACTTCTAAAAAATAGTTCATAAAAAAAAATTAAATTTCCTGCCTTTTTGTTAGCTTTGAAATATTTGATTATGAAAGCAAATGTAAATTTCTAAATATTTTAACTTTCAAAGTCATCGATTTTTTCCGCTTTCTATAATGAATCTGAATATTTATTTTTTTATATTAAAGATATTAAAATATTTACTCGGGATTGCATTTTATCAATGTACATATATTATTTTTTCAATCGGATAAATTTCGATTATAAAAGTTTTTTATTTGATTCAGAAATATATAAATTGTTTAAAATTTTACTTTCAATTTTATAAAATGCGGTTCGTCTATTTTTATTATGTATCATGTGGATAGATAGCAACGCGTTTTAAACTGCATATATAAATTGTTGATCAAATTAATCAATTTATCTTGGTTCGAAATTGATTTTTGAAACGAATTTTCATTTTTATTTTGAATCAATATACTTAACTACTGAGATAGTTTAGGTCAACACTAACATCACTATAACGAGGGCATATATTCAAAAGTAATTCGAATCAGCGCAAATCGAGGTATAATTGACACTTATGCCTATTTGAAAAGTCATTTTTGATTTATTCTAAGCTAACAAAAAATAAGTAAGATATTAATGACAATTTATCATCTCTCTATTAGTGTTAAAAATAGATTTAAATCACTTCTTACATTAACGTTACTTCGTAACGTGGAGTCTCTGTATTACCTTATAACTCGATACTAAACAGTCAGAACCACTCCACTTTTTATACAGAACTTTAAATGATTTGGTTTCTTTTTTTCACCGAAAATCTTTAAGCATTATTGAAACATTAATTAAACAGAATTTCGTCCAATATTTTAAAGGAAGTTATTTTTCCATCCACATTCCCATACTTATTTGTCCTCTATCGTACATATATACTTGTATATACGTATTTTTAAGTATAAGGTTTTTTACATTGAAGCTAAATACTATTTTGCGCATAATAAATTGTAAAAATTCTGCACAATCTTAATATTGACTAAAAAGAAGTCATATATATTACACAACTACTTGGTAATACAACTTTCACGTCTGGTTTTGGAAATGAAGAAATCAAGAAGACTGTTGCTGTGATAATATGCAATGTCGCATTTAGGCTGGCTGGTGCTTACAAGGACTCCAAGTGAACTTCAATATGTGCCGAATACATAAATTGACAAATTCTAACATCTAACAATAATATGATAATCTCTATAATCACATATAAAAATAATAATAATATGATTATGGAGAAATATTCGGGTCAAGCGCACTATATAGATTGATCTGTTGTAAAATGCAAGAATGGCGGTTTTATTTTTAATTTTAAGTGAACAAAGCACATTAAAGAATTTTTTTGAATAAAATACTACAGAAATAATATTACAGCATAGTTATAGGTACTAATAGTACGTAGCTGCGAGAGAGGAAGACTTTACGAGTTAAGCAGACTATATGGTATAATTATATATCTTTAATTGCTAGCCCTGCAAATTTGTACCACATCAACGTCACTTTTAATTTATTATAGCTTAAACATAGAACACCAACAAAAGAAAAAAATTTTAACTAAGCATTGTTTAAGTCTTAAATTAAGCTTTATCAAAGCTGAATATTTTAATTTAGAATTGAAAAAAAAATAACAGAAAATTTAAAATATATAGACAATTTAGATGAAAACTTTTTTATATATTCGTTAGCACGGCATTTTTCTCTTACATTTACATGAGTAAACAATGGCTGTATTGCATTTTTGCATGCATTTGCATTAAATTCCAGGAATTTTTTATATTTCAAATATTTTATAGTTTTTTCCACATTTTTTTTTTACTTTCATTTTCCATTGTATTCCTTTGGTTTGATGTGAAGTGTGCAATCCGAGACCTTTAAATTTTCAAATTTTAGTAAGAAAATTGGAGTTTGGAACTAAGACTGCAGCTACGAATATATAAACTTAAGGATATACACTTTAACGATTTTTAATACAATGAGTAATATATATCAGACACAAAAAAAGACACAAATGTTGACATTTATTTCTGTATAATACTGCCTTGCCTAAGCGATGAGACACAGATAGCCTCGGCTCTCATAACTAAATTGGAAACGACATATTGTTTTTTCTCCTCCTCTTTTTAAAATTTGCAGTGATAACAACAACAACTTTGATTTAGCTCTTAGTTATAATGGCAGTCAGTCCAATTGACCAACAGTCCGATGTGATACCGTTACTCAATGTAGGACTCTAACTTTTAGTTGATTATAAAAACAATTTCGAAGCTCTAGAAAATCCTTTAAATTTTTTATTTATTGTGTTGAACACTTCATTAAGAGTGCTAATGTCATAACAGTCGTCAAAGTTCACTCTGGCTTCAACTGGGTTAGAGCTGGATATATATAAAAAAATAATGCGTAGAAAACGTCGTCTTGTATCCTCTTCTCTACAACTACTAAAATATTCATAAGAAGGATCATAGTCAGTATGATCCTGATCCTGATATACCAACTGCAAGTTAAGATATTTACTGAGTTTCTCTTATTAAGTTTTGGCCACAGTATCTATCAGAGAGGTACTACAAACAAGAAATACTACAGTTTGAAGTGACCATAGATATTCCGATAATGATTATGTCTATGCCCAGCTAAAGCATAATACTCCCATTTGACTTATTTATTTCTCCAAAACCGTTATTAGACATATAATAAATTAATTTCTTTTTTATTTTATTTTCTTCTATTGCGATCCATCATATAAGAATAGATAATGAACAATATTTATGAGTAAATGGCTAAATACTTAAATTTGTGTGGGTTTGAATGGACTGCGCTCAGTAGCACATCCGTCTTTTGAAGTCGGTCACAAATTAAAGTCCCACTGGCGTTTGTTTGCAGAGACGTCTGAACTTTCATTCTTCTGCTATAATTAGGATGAATGATATTGTAAACGTTTTTTATGATTTCTGATTTCCAATAACACAAAATATGTCTATAATTTAAACCAATAAAATGTAACTATTAAACCTAGCTCACAAATCATGTGCGAAAATTTGAAAATAAATGCATTAATGAGTGCCCAATAAACTTAAATCTACGGCGATATATTTCGTTAAAGCCATAAAATTCCATAGAATATCATTACACTTACTCGTGCATCACATCTTCCTTAGCAATATAACTAGAGCTGTCGTAAATCCATACTTCAGTGCAATTCTACTAATATTTAAGGATGTCTAAACGCATAAATTGCAGCACGTAACAATAACTTAGAATATATGGACGTTTATATTTAAATATATTTAAGGATATATCCATATAATGAATTTCGACTTAAACAGAGTATTGTGTCCTTGTAAGAGAAGTAACTCTAAAGTTTCCCACAAATCAAAGAAAGATTTAAGTTTTTGCACAATATAATGCCAAAGGACTTAGCAATGCTTGTATTGGCAGTCAAAAGGACAGACGGTACGACAAAAAGCCATACCTTCTGCATATTGGATATGTAAAGTCAGATATATTGCTTAAAACTGTGAATAAGTTAAGAGAGTTTTTAGACATCAACGTAAGATAGATAACTTATAAAAGAGTTTGAAACAAAAAAGGCATTTATGTGCTTTTGCAATTTTCGGTAAGAAAAATGGCTAAAGTTAGCCCAACAGAAGACGAAAAATTTTGGAAAATGTTTGGAAAATTCATGAAACTTTTAACGTCCTTACAAGCAATTGTGCATGTAAGCTTCTGTTGTTAGTTAGGTGTAAGATGCCTCACACGCCATGCATTTCCCGTACTTATTAGTCAATTCCTTCACAATGCAGTAGAGCTCTTTAATTTTTAAAGCATCTTCATGCGTTAGAATTAATACAGCCTTTGTTTCAATGCGACTGCAAGGTTTAATGCAATTGTTGGGAAAAGCCTATTCAAATGTAATTGCAGAATTGCATTTAGCAATTGAAGACCTCAGCAAATTTGGATGTGCATTCATTGGTTTTGTGCTAACTGCAGATAAACGATATTGCTTAACTTGAAGAAAATTTATGAGTCTTTGAAATTTTTACGGATTCATTGACAATGCAATGGCAATGAATTTGAAACCCACATACTGCAATGCAGGAATTTCGAAATGAATGATTTCAAATATTTTTGAATAACAAGGAAATACAATTACTAAATGTTACTAACTTTTTCAAAGAAAATAAGATGAACGTAATTTTTACGTATTAAAGAAATTAAAATTTATACTTAAGGTTAAAAAATAAATTATCATAGTTTTGATTATTTTCAAATAAAATAATAATATGGTTTTTGGTTAACATTTTCTTTGGCAGGACCCAAGTTCGATTTCTGGTACTTGCAGTCTCAAAAATAATTATTTACGAATAATTAAATAGAAGAATTATTTCCAAGACCACTGATGATAAGTATTTGGCAATACTCGAAACAGCTGTCTGGTCAGCCAAAAATTCAATTATTTAAAATAATATAAAAAAAAGTTTTTGTAGTTGTAGTTCACTACTGTTCGAAAAAACCTCTTCAACGTTTTATACAAAAACCGTCGCAACCAACATAATTCTTAAGCGCTAGCATAACATTCAATGTGAAGACCCTTTCTTATATAGTTTTTATATAAGCCATGAAACCATCACTTCATCCCTGCTTATCAGTAAATCACCTTAGTAGGTTTTATTTTTAGTCTGTAATCTGCAATTCGAACGACACGAACTACATATTTCTGCGTTGTCATTTGATAACATCGGCTCTTATTAATTTATATGACACGTCATTATTATATTCTTTCTATGTTGTCGATTTCTCAAGCTGCAAAACATATTTTTCTACCCCCCATAGTACTATATTTGAAATATCTGCTTCAGCCGTAACTTCCTCAGTATATAGGCACATAATTATATGTGAATTAATCGCTTGTTAATGTGATGGCACTATCAGACTCATTGTGTGAATATTATATTAATCGTAGATAGTA